GTGGGCGTCTATTGCACCCACCGAGTACTGTGTTACCTATCTGCCTTCGGACTGCCCGAGCTAGACCTACTAAAATCCTCAGGGCAGTCACTTTTCACAAAACGTATTATGTTACAATCCACACCAATGAATCACGCTCTTTTTAATATAGACTTAGTGTCGCGAATATCCGAGTTCGGACCTGTTTTGTTTTGGTCTGGTTCTTATTGAAAGGCAAGTTACCAGTGCAGTCACTGATACCTAGCCTGTGTGCTAATAACCTAATACCTCTCACTTTAGTCTTTCTTTCGCCTACCTAAGTCCTTTAATAAAATAAAACCCCTCCGGATTGGCACAAATAGGACCCTTCCGGACTAACAAAATCTAGACCCCTCCGGATTGCGACCCCTCTGAGTTAGTTAATAGAAGACCCCTCCGGATTTGGACCCTTCCGAATTAGCAACTATAAGACCCCTCCGGATTCGGACCCCTCCTAACTTGAAAAAATTTTGACCCCTCCGGATTGGGAGCCCTCCGGTTTTGTAAAAGTAGCTTTTCGGAGATTTCCTTCTTTCAACCTATACCCCTCCGGATACGTTCTCCGATGCAATTTTGCTTTTTCAATTAACTAGGAAGGGTATGTTCTACTTTCCTAGACCCTTCCGGATTGAAGTTAAGCCTCTTATTTGACAATTCACACTAACGGTGAAGGGTCCTATCACTCGCCTAATTTCGGCTCGATCAAGGTTTTGCTGTACCCCTAGCCTTCCCTTTTTGTCTGGAACAGCCTAAAGTTACTTTATTCAATCGCTAATACCTTTTGGTAGGGGTATAAGGGCTTTTCTAAAAAAAATTTATAAAACGTGAAGGGTGTACCCTTCCAAATTGAGGAACTTGCTAAAAACAATCTCAAAAATTTTCACGCCTACTTTTCCGAAAAACTTTTGTCCCTATCAGTAAGCTCAGCTAATTTCTGATCTATTGGTACCAGGATCAACTCGATATGCGTAGTAATTCCAAAGTTATTAACCAAAACGTCTTTTTTCTAAACTCAAAAATTTTCTGTCTTATAGGTTCCGCCTAACTTTTTCCGCAAATCTGGTCCTTTCGACCTAAAAATTATTGATCCGAGCTCGGAAGGCCTATACTCTTCTAGTTCAATGCAAAAGACCCGATCTAAAACGCTTTAGTTGAAAAAATTTGCAAAAAAACTATGCTACCTGTACCCCTCCGGATTGATGAATCCACCAAATCAAACACGTTAAGTTCGATTTCCCTGCAACCGGGAAGGCTTTCGGGTAGCGGGTTTTAAAACTTGTAGATTCACTAGTGGAAGTTGTCCGAACAACTATTTTTACTGTTGTAACTCAAAAATTTCAAAAAATTTTCTGAATTTTTAGTGTTTCGGTTTCTCAAAAATCACGAAAATTCGGTTTTTGGTTCCCAAATAGTTCCAACCACTTCCGAACTAAACTTAACCGGTTCTATCTATTGTAGTAGTGCAGTTGCAATGTAAAACACTAATTTAGCGCTTTTTTCCGTTTCAAAAAATATCGATATCTCAAAAATCGCGACTTGTGGGGGGATCAAAATATCGCTATTTTGACCCTAAAAACCGGTCTACTTTCTGTGTTTTTCACTGAAAAACGATATAAGACTATTAATATAGGCTATATAAGTAATAATATTAGTAATACTATACCCCTCCGGGTTTGTTTAATATCCGAATTATGGTGCTTAACTCGGATATTCGCAGTTCGGTGAAGGGTCACTACAGTGCAGCACTGTCGAGCACCCCACAGCTTAAAATTTTAATTTTTGTACCAAAAGGGATACAAAACTTGGTAACGATACCCAACAGTCGATTGTTGTTGTCGTTGAGCCTCTTCTTGTTGCTCCTTGTACTGCTTGCCGGATCAGTTTTCTCCCAAGACCCTTCCGAACTGAGCGCAAATCAGCTGACCCTTCCGGATTGAGCGCAATTTATCATTAACGTGCTTAAATGCTCAAATAACCCTACAGTACAAGCCTCACAAACAGGCTACAAAAATGATCGTAACGATCCTGACTGATATAAATGCCTGTAACAACAATATATCTATCAACAACAACGGGGGGGTCGGATCACATCTTGTCTGGGGGGATGATTTCTACTGATTTTTTTAAAACTTTTTTTACTGTTTTTGGTTTTTTTTTTGGTTATTTTTTGTGTTTTTTGTTTTTCTTGGGTACTATACTACTTTTTATTTGGTTTTATATATATCGTTAAGTGTTTTTGGTCACAAACCTCTCAGGGAACGAGGGAATGGCCGATCCCCCCCCCACCCTTCCTGGTTCGTGAATTTTCGGTCTTAACTAAGCTAAAAAGCTATTCACGGTAATCCGGAGGGCTTCCGCGCTCCGAACCACCCCTCCGCCCCGGCGGTTTAGGCCTAATAAGGGCGTTAATGTGAGCATCCGCACGGCCCGGAGTGCTCGTTAACGGTTCTGCCGGTCATGATGTTAAAAAGAATAACACCCAGGAGCGCCATAAAAACATGTATGTAACATTCGCCCGGAAGATACATATCGACGGAAAACAAAACTAAGTCTTAAGACGACTGGCTAACGTCTAAACAGAGCTTTGCATGCTTTTCACCGTCTCTACCAAGCCAGTACTTTTCGGTGGTCTTTTCTAACATCGGGTCGACAAAACGTTACTGCTTTCGGCTTCGGTCAAAACACTCAAATTAACTTAATTACATGCAGGAATAGTGAGCTCATGGCTGGGTCTCAGTATCCCCAGACCACGAGGTCACTCCTAAAAACGGGGCTACTACTTATTATATTACTATTGTTTTTGTTCAGTAGATAAAAATCATCATCTCCATCGAAGATGGATCAACCCTTTTCCCCCAACTCCTAGCTTCTCATCCTTATCAAAATGAATCCAGTTGTTAATTAAATTCAGATCAGGACATGACAAGAAGCTAAAAGTCTATATAAAAGAATAAAAGTCTCAGTTCCGAAACCCTTCCGGATTCTTGAATCCACTGAATCAAGCTCGCTAATCTTGACTTCTTCTTAATCCGGAAGGCTGTCCTCCACCCTTCACCGTTGTCTGCAACAGCCTTGCAACTATTGAAGCGACACAATAAATGCAACTCGGAGTGTTCACTGCTATTCCTGCAATCTGCTATTGTTTTTTCTCACAGTTTTTGTACTTATTGTCCGCGCCACTAATGTTGTTCTGTTTTTCTTCGACCTTTTTGCCAAAATGGCCGTTTCTGACGTTTCTCAGAAATGTTACGTAACCACTTCGAAAATTTAAAAATTAACAATTCCCGAATCCTTTAACCTTCACGTTTTGTCCCATCGTTCAAATAACGTTCTTAATTCTCAATAATCACTAATTCGGAAGGCTCGCTGCTAAAATTTCAAATTCTGCAGAGATTGCATTTTGGCACATTCTGGTCGAATGTCACAAAGCATAGTAGGATAATTTTGGCTTGTTGGTTCGCAGGACTGTCCTGCAAACTAACACCTTTTAAAACCTAGGAGAAAAAATTTTAAATCAAGGCAATGACGTTGGAAGTCAGAAAAAATGTTTTATCTTAAGTAATATCCTCAGAATGCAGATTAGTGAATAAATTTAGAAGGCTATAGCAATGTAGTATGATGCCATTTATTTTCTGCAGTGAGTCGATATGACGCGGGTAAAAGTAATTTCTTGCATTTTGTAAATTCTGTTCAATGACACTGCACCATATTTACGATTATTGCGAGATTCGATGGGGACATTGACCGGGCTGTCCGGGGAGTATGTGACATTCGACCAGAATGGACAAAAATGCAGATTCAGCTGTTTCGAGTTTTTAGCAGCGAACCTTCCGAATTGGCGATTTTGAAGGAATAAGAGCGTTATTCAGACGATTGGACAAATCATGAAGGCTGAAGGATTCGGAAATTCCTAAAATTTAAAAATTCGAAATGATGATGTAATAATTCCGAGAAACGTCAAAAACGGCCATTTTAGAAAAAAACCAAAAGAAAAAAACAACAACGAAAGTTGCGACGACGACAACAACGGAGAAATTGAGAATCGGAATCAGAAAAAAAGCAGAAAGAGCAGTGACCGCTCCGAGTTGCAACTATTGTGCCGCTACAATAGTTGCAAGGCCGTTGCGAACAACGGTGAAGGGTGGAAAACCAGCCTTCCGGAAGGAGAATAAGAGTCTTATTTCCCCGGATTCAAGAATCCGGAGGGGTCTCGGGACTGGAACTCATATCTTTTTATTTAAAATTTTAGCTTCCCTGTTATGTCCTGAATTGAATTTAATGAACATCTGAATTCATTTTGCAAGGATGAGAAGCTAGGAGTTGGGGGAAAGGGTTGATCCATCTTCGATGGAGATGATGATTTTTATCTACTGAACAAAAACAATAGTAATATAATAAGTAGTAGTAGCCCTGATTTTAGGAGTGACCTGGGGATACTGAGACCTAGCCATGAGCTCACTATTTTGCATGTAATTAAGTTAATTTGAGCGTTCTGGTCGAAGCCGGAGAACAGTAACGTTTTTGTCGACCCGATGTTGGAAAGACCACCAAAAGAACTGGCTTTGGTAGAGACTGTTAAAAGCATGTAAAGCTCTGTTTAGACGTTGGCCAGTCGTCTCAGGACCTAGCTTTATTTTCCGTCGATATGTACTTCCGGGCGAATGTTACAACTAAACAAAATCGGAGTAAATTAATTTGTTCAGGGCATGACAGCAGCTAAAATTATGCGTTTAATAGTCTGTCACAGTATACAACAGTCCCTGGGCACCGGGCCTCCAATTCCGTTTTCAGTCTGTCAAAAAATCATTAACTAAAAATTCTTCTAAGTTAGTTTGAAGGCGGTCGAATCAGTCAAGGCTTTGCACATTTATCTGCACGATACTCCATTTTTTACGCCGTTTAGATTTTGCGTCTTTCGATCTGTGTTAAGAATTAAATCAAGTAACTTCAATTTTTAAAAATAATTACGCGCTTTCAGTTATGGCCAATGACTGGGCGTTGCTGTGATCATGATTTCAGTTTTCTCGTCTGAAAGAAATGACGAATTCAGAATTGTTCTCTGCAAGTCTCAGAAGAGGGAGCCTTTCGGTTTTTCTGTTTTCGGTGGTTTCAATTCGGCTCTTCCTGTCGTAATTTCAGAGATTAAAAGAGGCTCAATCGCTTATAGATGTGGTCAGGTAAGTCAATTATGAGGTTCCGTAAAAAGGTTTATAACGGATCCTCAATATCAGGGGTACAGGCTGCTAAAAGTCAGCCGTAGATTCCAAAGCTTTGCAGTCAGAGGATTGGATAGACAAAAGTTAATATGATGGACATTGTCCATCATATAAACTTTGTTCATCCAATCCTCTGATTGCGAAGCATTGGAATCTCAGGCTGACTTTTTGGAGCCTGTACCCCCTGTTATTGAAGATCCGTCCCCCCTTTGTACTATATTAAACTATCCATTGTTGGCGACGGACCCTTAAATTTTTCCTAAGACACCTTTGGCGCCAACATATACTTATTTTGAGAGCGTGCGCGCCGAAAAAACGCAATTTTTTGGTCAAAGTTGTCCAAAAAGTGCCTAAAAACGCCTCTTGAGGGCTGTTTCTTCAAAAAATTTTCCTGCGCTGCAGAAAGTTTGGCCAAAACAGGGTCTTTTTAGTGCTATGGGAGAGCTCGGAAAATCATTCTGGTCGACCTATAAAAAAATCGAGCAAATGGACAAAATCAAATTAAAAATCAGATTTTTTACTAGCAAAAATGCTTTAATGGAAGAACAGTTGTGATGAACAAAATTGAAATAAATTTCAGGTAGTTACTTTCAAAAACAATTTTTTCAAAGACCAGTTTGTTGGCACATACTTTTAAAAGTGGGCCCGATATTCCAAAGCTTCGCAGTCAGAGTATTAGAGGGGCAAAAATTAATCTTATGGTCAAAATTAAGTTAAAATTTAGATTTTTGTCACAAAAATGCCTTAATTCAAGGACAATTTTGGCTTACCTTTGCTTCAATTTTCAAGAAAATTCTTGTGTCCACCGTGAGGAAATGATCTCAATTACCCTCCATGAAAGTATGATTGCTTGGTTTCAAGTACTTACCAGTTTTTTTCCGGATGATAAAAGGTCAGTTTTCACCAGGGCTGGGTCCAAATAGATACAATATATTTTTAGCTTGCATTTGGGTATTGCAATACTGCCTGTTCAAAAAAAGGGTATTGCAATAGTTTTTTTTGCAAAAATAAATAGTTAACCATTGCAACAGTCGTAAAAATAGTTGATCCAGGAGGTTCTTTTGTGAAAAAATGTTGCAACAACCTCTTTTGTAAGAATAAGAGACATAGTGGATAGGACTACGATGTGGAATAACTTAAACTCGTCGACTGTCTCTTACACTTACGCACTGTTGCAAAATCTACCGCAAACGGTGAAAACGCCTTCTGAGACCCCGAATAAACTGGAGAGAGCGCTAGAAACCAAGAAATTATATTTTCATAGAGGATAGCTGAGATCATTTCCCGCAGTCGATATAAGCATTTTTTAAAAGTTTTAAGCGGAATAGTCTAAATGGTCCTTGAAATTAAGCTCAGCTTTGCCTCTGTGTATCTTTTTCGTTTTCGTTTGTTTCAATTATGAAAGGCTCTCAAATTACGAATATGCAAATATTGGAAAAAATGTCCTCTATCAATTTTAGTAGTGGACTTAACTAAAATCTCTCAGCTTTTTTGAAAATGTTGATCAGTTTTTTTTAATTGGGTTTGACCATTACAAAATGTGAGTCGTCAAGGTCTTGAAATCGAAAGAGATTCAAGGCGTTGTAATTTGTTCTACGAAACTTGAAAGTTGCCGAGATAATAGAATTATTTGCTTGGTTTCATTCGCTGAAAATGAGTCGATGAACGTAGTTAAGACTCTTATATAAGTTGTGATGATTTTTTCGTTGTTTTAATACATCAAAAACTCTTCGAGCGTGTTGACGCTCAAATCTGATTTTTCGCGATGTTAAAAGTAATAGGTCTTGCTGATTGTTTTTTTTTCAGGAAAAAAATTTGTTCACGCTCCATTTGATTTTTTGCGGTTTTACTTGTGATTTCTTTTTAAGTTCAGTGCATTTACAGTGTTAAAAGGAAGGCAAGCTCCAGTATCGAACAGCAAAAGTGTAAAGTTCACGAAAACGTTATCGACTTCTGATTGCTAACTTGGATTTTAATTTTCAATTTTTCCAGCGGAATAAAAACTTAACCGATTGACCCAGTTTTATCGAGTTGAGCTAATTTCATCAAAAAAGTTTGAATCATAAATTGTTCTTGAAATTCAAAGAGCTTCAAGGCCATATATTTTTACTTTGATTTTCGAAATTTGAAGTTTTTTTTTCGTAAAGTCGGGTTTTTTTCTGCTTGCTTGTGTTCATTTACTCTTTTTCAACTGTCTGTTGGCCGTGTTTTTTAAATGTCAGACGGCTGTTTTGTCTTGGTGTTTATGAAAAATCAAGTAGTTTAAGATTTCAGTTAACTTGGAGTGACGTTTGGATTGTTTTTTTTCTCCGCCGATGCTGTTTGTGTATAGTTCATACTAATTTCAAATCCAAGTTGTCCGAAATTTAGTCGACTCTGGATAATTATCAAATGAAAAAATTGAAATGCTCATAAGGATGCACGTAGTTCTTTTTTTCTCAGAAACTGTTTTGCTCGAATGTGTAAAAAAAATCTTTTTAGCTGGAGGTGGGCGATGTGCTAACAGAAGCCAATGGATTGAACTTCGCGGAAAATGATATGTCAACTTTAGAAGGTACGTTTCTGTCCTTGCGACTAGCAGGGTATTGCAAACGGGTACTAGACACTCTCCCGTTGATAACTTTATGAACAAGACTCAGCTGCTATAAAAGGTGGACTAGTAATAGACCTTTCTACGCCAACAGACAAATTTTTAGCGTATTGTTTTATGTTAAATACTCGTTTTATTCTTTTACCACCTGCAAGATTGCTTAGTTTTTTGCGTACTTTGCAGTCTCTTGAAAAATTTATTTGGTCTAAAAGATAAGGGCATATAATATATTGACATATTGGCTTCCTATTATGTTGCTTGAGGAAACAAATTATTATTTTTTCATGGCTAATGGTCACGTGAAAAATTGAAATTTAAAAAATGCCCAGGTTTTTTCGCCCAGTTTATACAGTAGCGTTTATCGTCTCAAGAGCGTCTTCACTAACCTTGTCGGCTTTATCACTGCTCATTGAATTTTGTTTGAAATCTAAATTAAAGCTCGCAGTTGCCTTGTCATTTTTTCTTCCAATTAATAATTTAAATCGTCAGAAATCGTGATGTGAAATTTTTGATAGATTTGGTTTTCGGCTTCTTTTCAACTTCGTGACTGTCGTCAAATTTTTGCCGGCTAACTTGACCTGCTAAGATTTTCATGTGTCTCACGGGGCGCGAAGCTCCGCTTAGCGTTGTATGCAGAAAATCAGTAGCAAATTTTGAAATATATTTTCTGCTCCTATGGTAGGATATCCAGTAGTTGGCCCAAGAGTTTTTGGGGTCTATGGACGAAAAAAAAGCGATAAGAAGTAAAATATTCTCAGGATCCAGCCATTTCCTTTTATTTTCAGTTTCAGTGGACGAAAAAAGTAGCAATAAAAAAGGATTATTCACAGGATCCAGCTTTTTCCTTTTATATTCAATTTGAGTTGACCTTAAAATAATTTGGGGTCTATGGACGAAAAAATTAGCAATAAAAAGTGAATTATTCACAGGATCTAGCCATTTTCTTTTATTCAATTTGAGTGGCCCTAAAAATTATTTTGGGGTCTAAAGACAAAAAAAGTAGCAATAAAAAGTGAATTATTCACTGGATCCAGCCATTTCCTTTTCTGTTCAATTTGAGTTGACCTTAAAGTATTTTCAGGTCTATGGACGAAAAAAATTGCAATAAAAAATGAATTATTCACAGGATCCAGCTATTTCCTTTTTATTCATATTAAGTGGACCGTAAAATATTTTCGGGTCGAAGGACGATCAAAGTAGCAACAAAAAAAATTTTCTCAGGATCCAGACATTTCCTATTATATTCAGTTTTAGTGCACGTTAAAATTTTCTGGTGTCTAAGGACAAAAAAGTAGCTATAAAAAGTGAAATATTCACTGAATCCAGCCATTTATTTTTATGTTCAATTTGTGTTGACCTTTAAGTATTTTCAGGTCTATGGACGAAAAAAAATAGCAATAAAAAGTGAATTATTCGTAGGATCTTGCCATTCTCTTTTATAATCAGTTTGACTGAACCTGGAAAATATTTTGGGGCTCAAGGACGAAAAAAGTTGCAATAGAAAGTGAATTGTTCACAGGATCCAGCTATTTCCTTTCATATTCAATTTGAGTTGACCTCAAAGTTTTTTCAGGTCTATGGACGAAAAAAATTGTAATAAAAAGTGAATTATTCACAGGATCCAGCTATTTCCTTTTTATTCATATTAAGTGGACCGTAAAATATTTTGGGGTCGAAGGACGATCAAAGTAGCAACAAAAAAAATATTCTCAGGATCCAGACATTTCCTATTATATTCAGTTTTAGTGCACGTTAAAATTTTCTGGTGTCTAAGGACAAAAAAGTAGCTATTAAAAGTGAAATATTCACTGAATCCAGCCATTTCTTTTTATGTTCAATTTGTGTTGACCTTTAAGTATTTTCAGGTCTATGGACGAAAAAAAAATAGCAATAAAAAGTGAATTATTCGTAGGATCTTGCCATTCTCTTTTATATTCAGTTTGACTGAACCTGAAAAATGTTTTGGGGCTTAAGGACGAAAAAAGTTGCAATAGAAAGTGAATTGTTCAGAGGATCCAGCTATTTCCTTTATATTCAATTTGAGTGGACCGTAAAATTTTTTGGGGTCGAAGGACGAACAAAGTAGCAACAAAGAAAATATTCTCAGGATCCAGACATTTCCTATTATATTCAGTTTGAGTGCACGTTAAAATTTTCTGGTGTCTAAGGACAAAAAAGTAGCTATAAAAAGTGAAATATTCACTGAATCCAGCCATTTCTTTTTATGTTCAATTTGTGTTGACCTTTAAGTATTTTCAGGTCTATGGACGAAAAAAAATAGCAATAAAAAGTGAATTATTCGTAGGATCTTGCCATTCTCTTTTATATTCAGTTTGACTGAACCTGAAAAATGTTTTGGGGTCTAAGGACAAAAAAAGTAGCAATCAAAAGTGAAATATTCACTGGCTCCAGCCATTTCCCTCTTATGTTCAATTTGAGTTGACCTTGAAGTATTTTTAGGTCTATGGACGAAAAAAATAGCAATAAAAAGTGAAATATTCACTGAATCCAGCCATTTCTTTTTATGTTCAATTTGTGTTGACCTTTAAGTATTTTCAGGTCTATGGACGAAAAAAAAATAGCAATAAAAAGTGAATTATTCGTAGGATCTTGCCATTCTCTTTTATATTCAGTTTGACTGAACCTGAAAAATGTTTTGGGGCTTAAGGACGAAAAAAGTTGCAATAGAAAGTGAATTGTTCAGAGGATCCAGCTATTTCCTTTATATTCAATTTGAGTGGACCGTAAAATTTTTTGGGGTCGAAGGACGAACAAAGTAGCAACAAAGAAATTATTCTCAGGATCCAGACATTTCCTATTATATTCAGTTTGAGTGCACGTTAAAATTTTCTGGTGTCTAAGGACAAAAAGTAGCTATAAAAAGTGAAATATTCACTGAATCCAGCCATTTCTTTTTATGTTCAATTTGAGTTGACCTTAAAGTATTTTCAGGTCTATGGACGAAAAAAATTGCAATAAAAAATGAATTATTCGTAGGATCTTGCCATTCTCTTTTATATTCAGTTTGACTGAACCTGAAAAATGTTTTGGGGCTTAAGGACGAAAAAAGTTGCAATAGAAAGTGAATTGTTCAGAGGATCCAGCTATTTCCTTTATATTCAATTTGAGTGGACCGTAAAATTTTTTGGGGTCGAAGGACGAACAAAGTAGCAACAAAGAAAATATTCTCAGGATCCAGACATTTCCTATTATATTCAGTTTGAGTGCACGTTAAAATTTTCTGGTGTCTAAGGACAAAAAGTAGCTATAAAAAGTGAAATATTCACTGAATCCAGCCATTTCTTTTTATGTTCAGTTTGAGTTGACCTTAAAGTATTTTCAGGTCTATGGACGAAAAAAAATAGCAATAAAAAGTGAATTATTCGTAGGATCTTGCCATTCTCTTTTATATTCAGTTTGACTGAACCTGAAAAATGTTTTGGGGTCTAAGGACAAAAAAAGTAGCAATCAAAAGTGAAATATTCACTGGCTCCAGCCATTTCCCTCTTATGTTCAATTTGAGTTGACCTTGAAGTATTTTCAGGTCTATGGACGAAAAAAATAGCAATAAAAAGTGAAATATTCACTGAATCCAGCCATTTCTTTTTATGTTCAATTTGTGTTGACCTTTAAGTATTTTCAGGTCTATGGACGAAAAAAAAATAGCAATAAAAAGTGAATTATTCGTAGGATCTTGCCATTCTCTTTTATATTCAGTTTGACTGAACCTGAAAAATGTTTTGGGGCTTAAGGACGAAAAAAGTTGCAATAGAAAGTGAATTGTTCAGAGGATCCAGCTATTTCCTTTATATTCAATTTGAGTGGACCGTAAAATTTTTTGGGGTCGAAGGACGAACAAAGTAGCAACAAAGAAAATATTCTCAGGATCCAGACATTTCCTATTATATTCAGTTTGAGTGCACGTTAAAATTTTCTGGTGTCTAAGGACAAAAAGTAGCTATAAAAAGTGAAATATTCACTGAATCCAGCCATTTCTTTTTATGTTCAATTTGTGTTGACCTTTAAGTATTTTCAGGTCTATGGACGAAAAAAAATAGCAATAAAAAGTGAATTATTCGTAGGATCTTGCCATTCTCTTTTATATTCAGTTTGACTGAACCTGAAAAATGTTTTGGGGTCTAAGGACAAAAAAAGTAGCAATCAAAAGTGAAATATTCACTGGCTCCAGCCATTTCCCTCTTATGTTCAATTTGAGTTGACCTTGAAGTATTTTCAGGTCTATGGACGAAAAAAATAGCAATAAAAAGTGAATTATTCGTAGGATCTAGCCATTCTCTTTTATATTCATTGTGACTGAACCTGAAAAATGTTTTGGGGCTTAAGGACGAAAAAAGTTGCAATAGAAAGTGAATTGTTCACAGGATCCAGCTATTTCCTTTATATTCAATTTGAGTGGACCTTTAAATTTTTTGGGGTCGAAGGACGAACAAAGTAGCAAAAGAAAGAAATATTTTCAGGATCCAGACATTTCCGTTTATATTCAGTTCAAGTGGAAGTTAACATAATTTGGGGTCTAAGGACAAAAAAGAAGCAATAAAAAGTGAAATATTCACTGGATCCAGCCATTTCCTTTTCTGTTCAATTTGAGTTGACCTTAAAGTATTTTCAGGTCTATGGACGAAAAAAATTGCAATAAAAAATGAATTATTCACAGGATCCAGCTATTTCCTTTTTATTCATATGAAGTGGACCGTAAAATATTTTGGGGTCGAAGGACAAACAAAGTTGCAATTAAAAAAATACTCTCAGGATCCAGACATTTCCTATTATATTCAGTTTGAGTGGACGTTAAAATATTCTGGTGTCTACGGACAAAAAAGTAGCTATAAAAAGTGAAATATTCACTGAATCCAGCCATTTCTTTCTATGTTCAATTTGTGTTGACCTTAAAGTATTTTCAGGTCTATGGACAAAAAAAATTTGCAAAAAAAATGAATTATTCA